GTCCTAATTGTTCCATTTAAATTTCCTACCCTGTCAAACTCTCAAGTATGTTCATCATTCCTATTGCTCTTCCAATATATTATCCTTAGTTTATCTAGTTCCAAAGGCACATGACAGTGTGGAGGTCTCAGTTTTAATTTGTTTTTGAATATGGAAACACTAAAAATTTTTTCAAATAGTTATACTAAATAGATACTAAAGACTATAATGTAATTATAATTCTATCAATTTGGAAATCATCCTCTTATTAATGCTGCTTATTGCAAGAATTATTTTGAGTGAGGAAATTTCAATATAACTCTATTTCATCCCTTCAACAAAATGATTAAATATATTTTTCCGGTATCTTTGGTCAATTCATGAAATTTATTTTCATCATAAAATAAATTCAATACATGATATATAGTATCCTTATTTATTAGTGTTTTTGAATTTCTTTCTACAACTTCTTCAGCAAGTTTTTTTTATCTATTTTAATCATCAACAAAGCCTTTCCAAACAGGATCAGGGAAGAAACAAGTGAAGGTGAAATATTATAAATCAGTTATCAGTGTTACTATTCATCCATAGCCTCTTAAAGACTAGCAATGGAAAAGAAAATAAGACTGAGAAACCTTCTCTACCATGGTGTAATCTGAGGAAGGATATTGGAGAATAAATAGACTTTGGATGCTAGCCACTCAAAATAATTTTTGCAATCAACAACATTATTAAGAAGGAAATTTCTGAATTGATAGAATTATAATTATATTAAGGTCTTCTAATTAGCATAACTATTTGACAAAGTCTTCAGTGTTTTAAAAGCTAGATGCATCTTCTCAATGCCAATTTCCATTAAACTTAAACCATATCACAGTCCTGACTTTGGAAAACTTTTTAATACTTGAAGAGTTAATGATAATGCAAAATATAACTAATATGGGTATTAAATACAAACATGTCAATAAACAAGATATTCTTGGAAACAATTAGTGTTCTCTGCTTTAAGTATATTCAAATAATAATTTTACTTTCAAATATACTCAAAATCTTTAAAAACAGTGTGACAGGAAGGACAGAATAGCAGTAGCTGACCAAGCACCAAGGATGGTAATTCCATTCTAGACCAACCATGACTAGCTGTACAACCTTCAATCAGTCACTTAATATCAATATTCATTCCTTCTTTTGTAGTACCGGACTGAAAATACTCAGTTGCACCTAAGGGAAGCATTGTCTTTTT